GGGGGGGGGGGGGGGCGACATGCTCAGTCGTTGTAGCTCCCCACAAAAAGATTCGAGTTTTCAATTCGGAATCGTATCAACGCTCTTTTCCAATCTTAAGGTCAAGCTTTCTCCACCTTGTTTATCTCAAGGCTCAGTAGCACATCATAAATCATCCTCAATTGTTCTTGTGTATTCGTTGACGCCTTGGCCGTCCACCTTAGGCTCTGATGGCGGCTCTCTGCATTGTCCACGATGTTTCTTTTTGCAATTGATGCATTCGGGCTTCTTCCGCGGTGGCTTCCGTGACTTCGTCTGTCGTTTCGTCTGGTAATTCAAAGCTTGCGCTCTGCTCACTTGTTCGTAATTGAGACCACTCTTGTTTGGCGTCCCATTTTTCGCCATACTTCAAGTGTATACAACCACGACGACAGCCCCCTCCGCTTCTATGCTCGGTTCAAACCCTCAAAAAGGTTACGCCAAACAGCAGCTACCGTTGACGTTGTTCTTGATAAGCTTCACCTGCAACAGGGATATCGAGGATCAAGGACAATGCCAAATGATGGTAGCTCCACGGCGCTTATGTTAGTGCTGGATGGGTGGCGATGAATCCAGCGCGCTATGAGTTGGATAACGAGGCAAGCAATAGGTCAAGAGCAATCACGGAATCCATCGTGGGTAATTAATGCTACCTATCTTTCAGTTTTCCACTATAAGGGTTAGTTTGTCAACGACGCGCGCAGCCTAACAAAAGCTACCCGCGACGCGTCACCGACCACCTCATCAAATTTAGTGGGAATAAGGCAAAAGAAGGGAGAAATAACTCACTCTCACGTTGCTTCAGCTTATCACCAAGACTTAATCAAGTCCTTAGACCCTTACAAGCTATATTCCCCACAAATATTTCAAATATTTACCATTACTGTAGCCATTTCCACCGACATTGTCACTGTTATAGCGCGATGGTAGTAGCTCCACTGTAGTCCGATCGATGGTGGTGACACAAACACTGCGAAGGCGATTTTTCAGTGCGCGCGCCCTACTGTAAAGAACACACGACACATGTGGCTATACGTGGTGGCAGCGGCTTTGGTGGCGGCAGCAGCGGTGTACGCCATCGTGGTGCTCTTTTCCCATACTCCGCGACGCCCGTTCCCTGAGGAGGAAACCTACGAGACCAACGACGGCCAGGGGCGGGTCCACCCGCTCCCGCCACGCGCCCAGCCAGGGGACGCTAAATCGACGCTGGCGGGCGATGTCGAGCTTTCGGTGGTGATCCCCTGCTATAACGAGATCGACCGGCTCGGGGCGATGCTTGACGAGTGTGTCCCGTGGCTCCAGCACCACCCACGCGGGTTTGAAGTGGTGATTGTCGACGACGGGCTGAGCGACGGCACCGGCGCCTATGCCCTTGAAAAAGCTACTGAATTGAAGCTTAAACCGGGACAAATGCGGGTGGTCACCCTTACTAAGAACCGGGGTAAAGGCGGTGCCGTCACCCACGGTATGCTCCATGCTCGCGGCGATTATGTGTTATTTGCCGATGCCGACGGTGCTACTCAGTTTAAAGATGCGGAAAAGCTTCTTCAGTGGTTAAGAGATCAGCCCAGCCACCGGGGGGCAGTGGCGGTGGGGCTGCGGGCCCACATGGTCAACACCGACGCCGTGGTGAAACGGCTGTTCATCCGCAACTTCTTGATGTACGGCCTCCACACGTTGGTGTACGTGTTTGGCATTCGTGACGTCAAAGACACCCAGTGTGGGTTCAAAATGTTTAACCGGAAAGCGGTGACGGAGATCTTTCCTCACATGCACACCGAGCGGTGGATCTTTGACGTCGAAGTGCTTATATTAGCCGAGCGCCAGCAGATGCCGGTGGAGGAGATTGCCGTTACCTGGCACGAGATTAGCGGGCTGAAGGTCGATCTTGCCCGCGACCTGATCAACATGGCCATCGACCTCGTGGTGACGCGGTTAGCGTACTTGTTGGGGGTGTACACCATACGTGACGCCAAGAAGGACTTATAGATTATAGACGTACCTACGACGTAATAGAGATGACAAAGATTTCGAGTAGATTTCGTCTAGGATTAATGAAGCATCGTTGTTGGGTGTATTCGGCGCAATCGGATAGACAGGTAAGGGCCCAGCTGTGAACCAACTCAAGTATCAAAGCTGCTGACAGATAGGGTTATGTGTATTTGTTGGGACGGATACTGTGAAATGCATAAGCAACCGTCGAGGTGGACACTTTTAGTGTAAACGGGAACCTTCAAACAAACACCATTATCGGTGGTGACTCGCTCGGGAATCACTCTGGTCTCGGCGATGAGGAGCTTCCACCAGCATTTTAGCCAATAATTGCCATCAATTCATGATTCTCTTCACTATATGGCCTTCTGAGGTTGTAGTCATTTGCCATCATTTGAAGCTTCATTGGAAGCCATCCGTCCAAATGGTAAAAGGAGAGTATATACCATCAATCTTGCTAACCACCATAGTCATTTTATGGTTTGGCAGTGCCTTCAACGACAATGAACGAAGCCCACGTGCCCACAATAAATGGCCCTATCACAGTCACACACTATCTTTCAGTAGCAGGAAGGGTCTTAGTTAGAGATGCATTTGAACTTCAAGAAGGAGCTAGCCACGATTTCCCCAGTATCAATGATATTTCGCGGCCACTTCTCAAGTAGGTGTCTGGCAGATACTAGGGAATAGAATTGGTGATCGGAACCACAAACGAGTCTAATTCGCTTGCAACAAACCCAGTCAGCGTATATTGAAGGTGTAACATTTCAAATCTTGAGAAATGATACCAGATTTTGCCTCTCATCGCTGGTCAAAGGTCACATTCGCTGAGGAGACAAAACCAGTCAGTTAAGCAACGTCACCAACGGAAATCTGGTTGGCAAACACTAACAAACCAACCATTAACCACCATTTATTGAAACAAATCGTAGTCTGTTTGGTTCTAGCAACAACGGGTCGAGCACCGGGCACTAGCGAAACCCAACCCCCATAGCTGTTTAACCGCCACCAATCCACTGTACATCATCACTTATTGAATGTGGCTTTTTGACAATGTTCCCCAGTAGTGTATTTTTCAACTCATTCTCGTGCCAACAGTCATATCCGACTCCGATATTGTTAATGATTAGGTTGCTCACTCATCGCTCACACATCTCAACCACCATAGCGTCTCCAATTCAATTGACTGGATCAGAAATAATCCAAATGACAAAGACCCTCGATTGCCACCATTTTAGATCATTTTTTTCTCAAGTTTCACACCCTTCTCTTCGACCCTCTTCCTGGCCTCTTCTCGGTGGCTTCCAGTACCAAGTGCGACCAGGCCCGCACGCCACCACCCACTTTCGTCAACCCGCCACTTCTCCCCTCGCTTCCCCCTCTCCCTGGCGATGTACCAACAGCTCCCCTTCGACGAGCTCACCGTCGACCCCCAGCTGAAGAAGCGGGTGGCGTACTTCTACGACCCGGACGTCGGCAACTACTTCTACGGCACGGGACACTGTATGAAGCCCCACCGGATACGGATGACCCACTCGTTGATCATGAACTACGAGCTCTATAAGAAGATGGAGGTGTACCGGGCCAAACCGGCGCTGCGCCTCGAGATGACCCAGTTCCATTCCGACGAGTATATCGACTTCATTGATCGTGTCACCCCGGATAACTTACACATGTTTGAGCGGGAGCAGGTGATCTTTAATGTTGGTGACGACTGTCCCGTGTTTGATGGATTAGGTGAGTTTTGTAAGATATCGTGTGGGGGTTCACTAGAAGCCGCCGCCCGGATGAATAATGGTCTGGCGGATGTGGCGATCAATTATGCTGGTGGTCTCCACCACGCGAAGAAACTGGAAGCTTCAGGGTTTTGTTACACTAATGATATCGTCTTGGGGATCATTGAGTTGTTGAGAAAGCATCCCCGGGTGCTTTATATCGATACTGACGTCCACCACGGCGATGGCGTTGAGGAGGCGTTCTACACCAATGACCGCGTGATGACGTGCCTGTTCCACAAATTCGGTGAGTTTTTCCCTGGTACCGGTAGTCTTTCGGATATTGGCATCGGTAAAGGCAAATACCATGCCGTTAACGTCCCCTTACGTGATGGTATTGATGACGCGCTGTATAAGCTGATCTTTGAACCTATCATCACTGCCATCATGGAATGGTTCCAGCCGCTGGCGATCGTGCTTCAGTGTGGTGGTGATTCTCTCTCGGGGGATAGATTAGGTCCATTTAATCTCTCGATGAGAGGCCACGCCAATAACGTCAATTTCGTCCGCAAATTCGGGGTACCGGTGATGGTCGTCGGCGGCGGTGGCTATACCATCAGAAACGTCGCCAGAACGTGGGCGTTTGAGACGGGTCTTTTGAACGATGTCGTCCTTCCTAAGGAGCTCCCCTATAACGGCTACTACGAGTACTACGCCCCCACCTACGAGCTCGACGTCCGCAGCGCCAACATGACCAACGCCAACAGCCCGGAATACTTGGACATGATCTTGACCAACGTCATCACCAACTTGGACCACACCAAGCACGCGCCCTCGGTGCAAATGCAAGAAGTGCCCCGTGACCCTGAGGACTATGGCGATGTTGACGAAGACACCGCTGCTGCCCTCGACACCAAGGGTGGGTCTCAATATGCTAGGGACCGCACCACTGAGCGCAGCGGCGAGTTCTATGACGACGAGAGCAACGACCGGGGGCTGCGGAACATCGAGATCACCGCCGAGGAGCAGATGGAGATCGACGATCTCAACGACGCCATGGCGACGTGACACACAAACCTTAACCAGTTAGCATCGGGCAGATACCAACCATTAAAACCTTGGATATAAGCTGTGGGCTTTAGAGACAAGACACTGGGATCTGTGGTATAAGGACTGGAACTGGACGCTAGCCAATTTTAAAAATGACTTAGTACGCGTCCGGTTCTATTGGTCCACTGCGACAACTAGAAGGGTGTACTTTTGGGCATCCCTTTCGAGTATAGTTTAACGATTACGTTAGAATCACCAATCATACATCAAAATAAAAATTAAGGTAATATTATTCGCTTCGGTTAATCCCTGGGCGTTTTGTGGGCGGCAGTCGGCCGCAAGCGAGCTGCTTCTCTCCCCCATTTTTTGGGATTACGTAGCCGAGAAGACCGTTGGTTTCTTCCCGCCATTGTATTCCCACAACGCACGTGCGAAAGTGCCGTACACGCCCACCTCTAATTTTTCTCTTGTCAGTGTTAGGCGGTGGTACCGATGATAACGAAATTGTGCGAAAGTCGTGCGAAATGGCAACCGTAGCCGGGAAGCACCCCAGATAGAGAATAAGGTTTGAAAGGGAAATGTGCTAGATGTGACACCTAAGGGGTTGAAATTCGTAACCCACTGAAAACGAAACCTAATCGGCACCCGATCCATTCCCTGATTAAAGACAGATGGCATATTTCAATGAGTTTTTTTCACTAGGTTTTTTTCGACGTGGCTACCAAAGGAGCATAATGACCAAGAAAATATCCACGAGAACAATAGCCACAATAAGGCTGATTGACGGAAAAATAGCTCACGTTACACAGTCGACTTTTTTTTATTGCCGTATGGTCGAGAGCAGGTACTTCCGAGACGGGTCGACTTGTTATTGGCCCGATGGGCGATCTCGGCTGGATCCCGGAAGATAGGGTGAAAAATTAAAAAAAAAAAATTGAGATTGGCCTTGACCGTGGGTGTGTGTAATGACGGCGCTGATCGCGGCTGTGAATGGCGAGCGCTGTCGTCCAGGGGCGCTGGGTGCGCTAAGGGGTAGATGGACCCAGGGGAAAAGAAAATCGACGCGGCTGGCCCACTGTTTACAGTAACGAGAGAAAGTGGCCCAAGCCCCCAATTCGAGGTTGTGGGCGCCGCGATCGTGGGTGGGCGCGAGGGGGGAGAGGGGGCATCAAAAGATGACGTGACAACTGACATTTTACGGGATGGCGATGGCTTCTGACGGCGTCAACGGGCGCCTTCAGGCGCCCACACGCGGCGCCAACGTGCCGCCGACAAATAAGGTGCGCGAAACGCGCAGCGCCGCACCCCCTGAGGGGTCGGGGCTTTAACGAAACCGTCCAAAAAAACGCCCTGTTTAACCTGGATATGTCGGCGAGCCAGTACTGCACGGCATTGAGAGGGATAGATGTATATATATGCCGCGACCACCGCACCCCGAAAGGGGCCCCCCCCATTCGCTAACCTCCATGAGCGGATTCCTCGTTGTCACCTACACCCAGGAAGGGCGCCAGCCTCAGCGCCGGCGCCGGCGCCGCGACCAGCGCCGCGACCTGTCGCTGGTGGCGCTGATGCTGACGGCGCTGACACGGCTGCTGGGGCTGACGGGAGCCACCCACTACCTGGCGACGCTGGTGGCGACGGCGGCCACCAATAAAAAAGTGTTTGACATCGTCACCAACACCTACGTCGATCCGGAAACGCTCTTGACCCCGTTCCAACGGCGCCTCGAACTGTACCATCAGGCGCAGCTGGACGCCAATCGCGACCCGCGGTGGCGCCAATTGCTGAATAACATAAACGATGCCGTCGACGATGACGGCGTCCGTTTATTTCATCGGAAACGCTTGGATCAGTGGCGCCTAACCTATCGCCAATCTCAACCGCTGCTGCCACAAAATAAACTGAAAAGTGTCGGAAGTGTTTCCGATATCGGGAGCGTCGGAAGTGCCGGGAGTATACGCCCATTGCTAGCCCTGCCTCGGTTCTGGGGCACCGTGTACCAGGATATCAAAATCGAGCTGACCCACGCCGCCTGTGACTACTTCGACGTGCTTCCCCCCGTCGGCGACACCATTGCCTTCTTTACCACGGTGGTCGACGGCGTTCTTGCCCATGTAAATGTGGTGAGCGCCGACACCAGCGGGGTGACGGCGCCCGACGAATTGACTAAATTAAGGGCAGCGGTGTACTGGTACCTCGCTGACGACCACGCAGCGCCATTATACGCCCAATACCAGCAGTTTATGAGTAAGTTTTCCCCGACAGCGCTGGCGCTGGCCCGGACCCAAGCAACGCTGATACTTGTGGCGACGATGGTGGAGAACGTGCGCTCAGTAATGACTACCGAGGCCATTGACATTGACGGCGACACCTGTGGCCAGTGGCGCCAGTTGTGGCTGTTTATCATCCACCAGATGTTTGCTTTGGTCTCGGAGGAATTGGTAGAGACACGACCGGCGCCGGCGCGTCCGACACTCACGGCGACGGTACTGTCGGCACCACTGGCGACACTGTCGCTGACGGTATCGGCGGCATCTCTGACCATACTGCAGACGCTGACGCCGCTGGCACTGCCGCTGGTGGCGGCTACTGAGCGCCAACCCCGCAAAAAGCTGGGGTTATTCGCTAAATTTAAACGCGGATGACCTCCCCTCCTTTCGCCCCCTGGTTCGGTTCCCCTGACAACAGCACTCGACCCCTGGCTCAGCTTGGCAAGCGGGCACACCAGCCTCCAAACAATAAGCGTTTATGAGATTTTCTTATTGTTCTTTCCTGCATACAGTTGGAACCATACAAATTTCATTTGTGCGTCCTATTTCCATCATTTTCCCCTCTGCTGCCGGAGAGCTTTTCGAAGGGGGGGCTGCTGCCGCTGGCTCGATGCAGGGGATAAGGCAGGCCTGGTCGCACTGTTTGTCTTTTTNTTTTTTTTTTTTGTTAATGGAAGAAGTGAGGGAAAAAAGAAAAAAGCAATAAAAAGCAATGCGCGCCCGCACTGTGGCACAGGCTGGCTGACTCCTCGCAAATAGCGCCATTCACTATTACGGCCCATTAGGAATGGTAGGGGGGAAGCCAGCCCCCGCCTCGGCGACCGTGCCAGCCCCGATACCCCGACTGTAACAATGCACACGATATAGGTCTAATTGTAACTCCCCGGTAGTCCCCTAGCCCGTAGCATATAGCCTTTCGTATTTTGTATGGGTGGGGTCCCTTGCCCATGTGCTCGGGCTTAAAATAGCGCTGTGGATTGTTTATGTTACCCTTGAGGTGCGAGTGCATGATGGGTGCCCGTCCTGCATGCGGGTACCCCAACTGGGCATACGCCGGCATCGAAAGCCGTATATAATTAACCATCCCTGCCACCAGCTAAACAAAAGCCTTCTACGTTCTTGTCCATGATCCACATCGTCCGCGACCCGGTGTTGCTCAGCGAGCACTCGTACTACGACAACGGCGAGTACCGCCCCCACCTCAACTTCGACATCACCCCCCATGGCGGCATAAGCGACGACTACTCCACCCAAGTGGTGTCGCCGGTGCTGGCGGTGGTGGTGGTGGCGGCAGTGGGGCTCGCCCTCTCCGGCGCCTACAAGGTGTACCGCTACCTTGCCCGGGCCAAGCCCGTGCCCCTGGCGCTGTTGGTGTAATTACCAACTCGTTTCTGCTCGCCCCTTTTTTTTATTGGTGAGTGGCAGTCATTCCTTTAATTGCATGAGTCTCCCTGGCGGTACCCGATAGCGGTTCCGGTTTATGGCCCTCCGCCTACTTGTTTACGTCGGGGACTCCCCTTTCATTTTCACTTAATATGTCGTTTGGTTTAGCATAGTTTTATATTTAATCGCTGGGGTCGTTGGCTAACTGGCTCAGCTCGCTATCAATTTTTTTTTTCCGGTACTGTAAGTGAGTGCGTGGGTAGAGTGCCTCATCGGGCGCCTGCAGACAGATACTCGGCGTATGGAATTCCCCCGAGCGCCATGACGTCACCCACCAGCCCATCAACAACCGTCCCACATTATACAAGCATCAGCAACCATCATCAACACAGTTGTCAGGGGTCACTTTGTTGCAAACCACCCCCTTACCCCTGGGCCTCGCAATTGGCTTTTCTCGGCCTCATCACTTGGTAACGAAGCGCCGGGCAACCTTAGTAGCGTTTGTTGTTTATCCCTTTCGGTGGGCCTTTTTGTGTCTCAGTTGCTCGCATGGCTCGCATGGCTCGGACGGCTCGCATGGGTCGCATGGCTCGGGATGGCTCGCACGGGCTCGGGAGGGAGCTGCCGATGCTATTTACTTATTTCGCCTTTGTGGCCTCCTGGCGGAGCTTAAGCAACTCGACGTCCCAGATGTTCCAGTCGTACCACAAAAGCGGCGGCCAGATGGTGAACAAGTGCCACATGGCGTGGGCATCGATCATCTGGAACCACGGCGGCCGGTCGCGGAGCTCAAACGAAAGCCCTAAAAGCATGATAATATTGAGTAAGATGGGTAAGTAAGGAATGATTTTGGAGTTGTTGATGCCCACCACTTTGAGCTTATTGAGCAACGCCGTCTCAAACGGCATCAACTGTGCCAGACTGGAGTAGTCGACGGTACTAGTAGCCAATGCCCGTTTCACTAATAACGAGTGGATGACCCACATCGCAAGCGCCGCGAGGCCAAACACGAGGTTGACCCGAGTATTGTAGCCGTAGTCCCAGTGCAAGTAGAGCTTGGTACAGTGGAACACGTACACGAGAAGCAACGCCAGGTGCCACCCGGCGCGTGCCATACCGCTCCATCTCCACACTTTGAGTAGGCGGTAGCCAATAGCATTGAAATTGAGAAGGACAATGGCAAACGCCCCGAAATAATCCAAAGTTTCCGTGGCGGGGACGTCGCGGATGTGGAACACCGTCAGAAGCAACCACCCAGCCATCAGCCCCAAAATCAAGTACAAGAACTGGCGGAGAATGCGGGCGTACTCGGGAGCAATGTGGGACTTGCTATTCTTGTGCACTTGGCGAAGCACCGGTTTCACCGCCAACCAATTGACGTAGAAATTGGCGAAACTAAAGATCGCCAGGAAGAACTCCTGCATTCCGAGCCACCGCGTGAACGGCCATTTGCCATAAAACTTCACCATCGGCTCGCCGTGCTCGTGGCGCCAGTGGGTGACGATCTGCTGGCACTTGTAGTTGCAGTCGGCGGCACACAGCCACCAGAGGTCAAACATCGGGTGCTGGCGGTACAGTTCCTGGAAAAACCGGCGGTCGTAGAAGTAGAGGTCCTTCCGTTTCAGCTTGGCCACCGCCACTTGGTCTCCGGGGCGCCCTTCCATGATCTGCTGGATCCGCGTGTCGTGGATGGTTTTGAGGACGTCGTCGGTGTCACACATCATCATCAGGTTGCAAGCATGGACACAGTCTTTGAAATCTTCCAAATTGTCGCCAATCAGGGCCACGGCGGGCGCTATAAGCCATAGCCACCAGAGGTTCATTAGCGTCGCGTGTCGCGAAAAGGTGAAATAGGCAAGATATGACAAGACGCGTTGCCAGAATAAAATGATAAAAATTAGAATAAAACGAATCAATGGGTTATTTGTGATACTACTGATATATCAATTGACTTTTTCTTTCCTTGATTTTTTTTTCACCATTGTCAAAATTTTGCAACAAATCAGACAATTCGTAGTGACATATAAATTACGATGAAAGAAATCAATCATTTAAGTTCGAAGTTCAATGGTTCGACACCTCACAATCATCAATTTCAATTGATCTCTTCGATTGCAATTTCATTTCATATTTACGGGTTTGTGCACCGGAGTGTCATCGTGCGGACAATTATTTCGTCTGGGGGTTGTTTACACCTAGCCCTGCGTTGACGATGCATCGACATCAAAACATATACATACGTCGCCTGCCCCGTATCGAGCCACGTACATGTTTTTTTCTGTCACTGTTGACGTTTCCCCGATTCGATAGATAACTTCGTGTTGTACCAACGTTTGCTGCTGTCAACAAATATACTAGGGTCCTGTTTAGCGTAAACATTAGGCCACGATAGTTTCCACATAGACGATGATTAACGTTTAGATCAATCAAAGCCGTGCAAGGCGAAGAAGATAAAAACAAACACGGTCCATTACATTGCCGTTGTTGACGTTAATTGATATCTTTGATGTAACCTTATTTGTGTTGTTCCATTAACTAGCTTATACCCCGCCACATTTCACCCGAAATGACATCACAATGACAAAAAAAAAAAAGATAAGATTGAATTTTCATTGAAATCAAATGTCCAACTTCGAAAGTTATTGGTAATGATCACCAATTTTGACTAGCTCATCATGTACTTAGCGTTTGCCTCTTGGTGGGAGCCGCACTGTGTCGCACTGGCGATCATAGGTCTCGCTCACTATAGCGACCCCACTGAATACCACCACCAGCATTTCATCACAAGCCCCACTCCCATTGGACAAACGAAACTCATTCGCTGTATAGTGGCACTCCAATTTACCCATACTCTACCTAATATTTTGGTGAATGTTTCTGAAGGCGACGCTAGAGGGGCTTTTTGCCGCCCTCGACCGCGTCCACTCCAAGCACAATCTCGTGGTCATCGATAAGACACTCGCTCCATTAATCAACCAATTGACTCCCGTGTCCACTTTGAAAAGCAAAGGAAACATTGACCGACTCGTATGGCTCCAACAGGACCTCGCTACCGATACCAGTATTGAAAATGCCACCGCCATCATCGTTATCATCGCCGACTCCAGTGATATCACACCAATAATACCGTTGGCGAAATACCGACTTCATATAGTTGTGGCAAACATGCTGCTTTCGACGTTGGCGATGATAAACGATGCTATGAATGGCCGACTTAACGACGTGCTCAGTTTAACCCCGCTGGCGCCGATGTACTCGTGTCTGGCTAAATGTAAGGTCTACCCGTGGAAAGTGTACCCTATTGCTACTACTGGAACTACTACTGAAGACCTGGTGACGGTGTTGGAGGGTTCATTTGACGACTATGTCCATAACCCATTACGCCAATTAAACCAGTTATCTCAAGCGGTGGTCGACGTCAGCTTCCCTCCCGATGCTGCCATACCCCGCTACAAATTCCGCAATCGGTTTGCTAAAGGAACCCACGCCGAAGCGTTAGTAAAGCTCATTGACGAAGTATCCATGCCCGCGGAACTTGCGCGGCGACTACAGCCGACAGAACAAGAGTTCTATCATAACCATCAGCACGCCGATACCGACTTGGTGGTGATAGACCGCAGCGTTGACTGGACGCCGGTGTGGTTGGACCAGGTGACATATGAAGGGCTCATTGACGAAGTGTTTGGCGTCAAGTATAACCAGGTGCAAAACGAACCGTACGCGGTGCCTGACGACGTGGGGAGTGTTTCGTTTAGTGAAGATAAGCTCTTTGACGCTCTAGCGCTGTATAACTTCCTGATGGTGGGGCCTACTTTAAACAAAATGGCTCGCGACGTCCAGGCGCAACAGCAGGAGATGAGGGTCGACTCCCACGATATCTCGCAGATGAAACGCGTGGTGCTGCTGTTGGGTCTGTTGCTGCAACAGCAACACTTGATTAAACGGCATACCACGCTCGCCGAGCTGATATTGCTCCATATGGATACGGAGTTCTTACGGTTTGAAACTGAGCTTTTTGACGGCGAATATGCCGACCATATTAATCAATTACACCAGCTCTTGTGGCAACAAGTGCTGTGGGACCGAGCGGTGGCGGCGGTGGTGCTTATTCTGCTGGTTAACGACGGTATTCGTCCTAGGGATTGGGAATGGTTCCGCACTGAGTTTATCGATAATTACGGCACCGACCACTTCCTCGTGCTTGAGCTGGTAGTCAGCCATGGTTTAGTGGCGATTAAAGAGGATAACGACTTTTTGACGACGTTTACTCGGGGCAAAGACGTCAAACCGGCGGAACTGGTGGTGGCGCCGCTGGCGCGTGTGGGCATCACTGGCGCCGAACTGCTTGCCGTAAGTAACTATAAGCTTGTGGATAAGTTCTGGAACCTCCACCCTAACGATGTTGACGATAATGAGGAGGTTGGTGGTGCAATGGCGGCGGATAGTATCGGCACTGATTACCCGCTGCCGGGGTTTGCTTTACCAGGAAACACTGTCCCCGTGGCTCTCCGGCTTGTGGAATCACTCTATAACCGATCTTTCCTCACTTATAAGCCCGTGCCCAATACCAAAAAGCGTCCCAATTGGCACCAATTAGGCGTCAACCAGTTCTGGAAAGGGCCCGTCGTCGACGACGGCAGCGACGGTGAAACCACCACGACGGTAGTGGTGATGGTCGGGGGCATTACCTACGGCGAGCTCGCCACGTTTAAATGGCTAGAACAACGATTACACCGCAAATTCGTCGTCATCGCCCCGGAGGTGATTAACCGGCGACGGGCCATGGGTGGCTTTTCCTGAGGTCAACCCAGTCATCATTATGTATGTATATTGAGTATATGCAAACAAGCACCTGGTTTAGATGGCGTCTTCGGCGTCCTTCTTCGCCTTGAGCTCGGCGTAGTAGGCGTTTCTCTTGGCGACGATGGGCTTGTGTTCGAACTCCCAGTAGCCGGTGGCGAGGACGAAGCCGACGGCAAAGCCCAAGGTGATGTCGGTGATGATCTTTCTCTTCAAGGTGCCGGTGATAGCGGGGACAGCCATTGTGTAGTGGATAGTAAAGCGGCTGGAAAACTTTTGTCGCTTCCTATTTGCTCGCCCGCGAGTGGTGCCATGTTTGTCTGCAGGAACGTATCACCATCAATAGAGATGAAAAGCCCCTAACATGCCAATAAAATGGCGTCAATGACTAATTGAGGTGAAGTAATGACGATAATAAATAATTTTAGATGATTTTAACCTGGGGAAATCCACCTATTATACGCGGAAAACACCAGTGTCGGTCGCACCGCACTGGGTAGCCTCACCCATCATCATCACAACAGAATAAGGAGACCATCTCATAATCGATATTTACTCAAGCCGTTCATTTTTTTATTTACCAAAGACTAAATTTAAATTCCACATACTAAATGGTTATATCTTTTCGTGTCGTTGTCAGATCACGCCATTGATGCTTAGGAGGCTGTTTTCCTGCACACAACCACACACCAATGAGGTGTGGACAAAGTGCGAAATTTATTCATCCATCATTCCACCTTTCATTCCAGATGTTTAAGACCGGTTTGAACGTCGCTTCCAAGAGAGGTTTCTCCTCGTCGGCCATCAGAGCCAACGCCGTCTACGGTACCCCGAAGTCGGGCCCTTACTCCAACCTTCCGTTCAAGGTCAAGGACAGAAAGTTCATCCCCTTTGGCCTCGTGTGGTGGGGTGTCCCCGGTTTCTTCTTCCTCTTCCCCTTCATGTCGTCGTACTGGCAATTGAAGAAGTCGGGCTCGTTGGACCCCGTCCCTGAGGAATAAATAGCATAATAGAAACTACTACGTGACCAGTTGTAGAGACCGCACAAGACTAAGTTTACCCCGGGGTTTGCCTTGAAAATTAATCAAAGCGAAAGTTGACAAAAGCTATTGAGCAAAACGAAAGTTGACTAAAGCATACGACAGTCAAAGCATACACCCAAGCAAAGTATCGTACCAAGCTTGCCTACGACATTGGAGTAAACAGTGATGGGACACGTCCTGTCTACCGTGATAGAGGTTTTAATTTTGCAGCTGTCACACTGAGTGACTGAAAACTTAAGTGGCTGTTAGACTCAGTTTGAGTGACCTCAGACTAGTTTGAGTATCTTCAGACTCGGTTTTTTTTTTGGGGTATTATGAGCAGTTGTGAGCAGGGATGTAGAAATTGGGTTGTTTGCAGTCAAATTGTAGAAATGTCGTTGATTGGTGTTTCGATGCAGAGGAGAACGAAACGGGTAGATGTGTGTGAATGTGAGTGTGTGAGGGTGTTTATATGGCAAAGCGGACCCGTTTCAAAGTACGGGGTTCGGGGTCGTCGGGCGAGCGACGTTTAAGCGACAGCCGGAGCCGTCCTGCGGCCGGCGCGGGGGTGGCGTCCACCGGGGAGCCAGGCGGCGTCCACTCGATGCCCTCGGGCTCGTAGGCGTCGTCGTCGTCGTCGTCGTCGGCAAACGTGGGCGCCGCCAGCAGCAGCGGCGGTGGCGACCGGAGGGGCGCCAGATGCAACTTGATCTCGACCTCGGAGTCGGAGCCGGAGGAGACATCGTCTATAGTATTAATCGGCTCGGGCAGCACTAACTCCACAGCCACAGCCTCATTAGCGTCAGTAGCCTCAGTAGTCTCGATAGGTGCTTCAGCTTCTTCGGCGGTGGCAGTTTCGGTGGTGGCAGTTTCGGTGGTGGCAGTTTCGGTGGTGGTTACCATTGCTGGGAGATCGACGGCCAGCGAGTTGGCAGAGAGGTGTTGCGGGCTGTTATCGTCGTTTTCATCGTCGTCGGAGTCAAACAGAGACATCGAAAACCCTAATAATCCTCCGGTGGGCGTATCTGCCGCTGCCGCCTCAGGGTCAGTAACCATATAATCAGTAGTGGTCGGTTCCGGTAAACTAACATCAGGAGTAGGACTGAGGATCAATGGATTGACATCTTCGACTTCAGCGTGCTTCACTACCGGCATCCCTACGGTAGCTAACGCCGTAATTAATGGAGGAGCGGTAGGACTGAAAACATCGGAGAAAAACTCCACTTTGATGATAGGGTCGATTTCCGGCTTATTATCCTTTAAGTATTGGCGGCGACGTTCAATGAGCTTTTGGTGGCGCTGGTCGGCCTCTTGTTGCTGGCGTTTAGTCGTGATAACTGCCAGTACCCGTTCAATCACGGGCGCAAGCTGTTCGGCCTGTTTATCGATTAGTCCCTTAATCTGGTTTAACCTCTCAGTCCACGCCTTATAATTCTTCTCAAATATCTGTTGTTGTTGTTGGTCAGGGCGCAAAGTGTCGACAATGGTATCAATAAACTCGTTGGCTTCACCGACAAGCCGGTTCCGTTCGAGCTCGAGTTTGTGGATAAGGTGTCGTTCGTCATCAGTAAAGTCATCGTCGGTGGCTCCTAAACGGTCCACCAGCTTCATCACTTGGATACTGCGGTAGAGAAGGCCCCGGCCTTCGCGGATAAGCATATCCTGAGTCACGCGGGACACTCCCTGAGCGGCACCGGCGGGGATAGCCAGCGCCATGCCTGCACCCTGACCTTGAATCAGCGTTGCCTGGATGATAAACGTTTCGATTTTCTGTAATGTGTCCAAGGGGAAGATCGTTTGACCAGAAGCGCCCCGGACAAGCATCCACGTTTTAAACAAATTGATCAAGTTTTGGCGCGTCAGCGTGTCGGGCACTGAAGTATAAGTGGCGGTGAACACTTTAAACATGTTTTTGGCAAAGAGCATCGGGTAAGGAGGGCCGACGTTCTTCAGGATCAGGTCCATGAGGTACATGGCGAACAACTTGTGCTGGGGGAGCGCCTTGCGGATGCGTTCCTCGACCATCTGCACCACGAGGGGGGCGTCGCCGACGTTTTCCTCCGCCAACGTCGTGAGCTCGGTGATCACGGCCCGCGAGTTGATGGTGAGCGACGCTAGAAGCTTGCCGTAGTACTCAGCGTCGAACGCCATAATTTCCGAGTTTGGAGCCCTTGGGAGGTTTTAGAAGAAAGAGATAAAAGGGGAGGGGGGTAAATTGTCGTTAAAAAGGCGGTAATAAGGGGAGGGGGGAAGGTACTTGGCGGCGGAGTCGACGACTGTTGGTGATGGAGATGAAATTGGGTACCGCGAAAAAAAACTAGGTCGAGGCGAGTGTGAGGCTAACTATATGCAGTACGAAAATAAAACGATTTAGTACGATCGAGAGTCGAACAACTGGTGTGGTCGCGGGTTTCTTTTTTTGGACGACCGAGTCACGTGATCCGTCAAAGCAACCAGGGGACGGGTTCCCGAGATGCCCCTGCCCCCACGGCCCCATATTATCTGGCCTTCCGGCGACGGCAAACATAAACTTTAATTCTCGAAACGGGGGTGTCACCCTGACGCTTGCCACACACCGGCGGCAGCCTCGCGGGGCCTTCTCCGAACCGCATTGTAACCCCAGGTATACGACGGGTAGAATGACGAGGGTGTTTGACTGCTTCCTATAGGCTTATCTCGTTATTTGTAGGGACTAACTTGATGGTGTTAACATGATAGGAGTAATGGTGGTTGAGATTTGTGGCTATCAGGTGCTGGCGGTGGGGCAATGTCTCGACGCCGATGCCATCGGGGCAGCAGCATGTGTAAGCAAAGCTATGCCAGTGAAGGTGCTTAGCCGAGCATGGCGAGGGTCCCCGGGGGCGTCTATGTAGGTCGGCAGTACCTTCTAGATCGCGTGGACCCAGGAGACGTTGCCGGCAAATGACGACGCTTATCATATGGCGTGGGACCAACTGCAAAACCTGTAAGCAAACATCGTATTAAGCAAATGTAACCTGTTTTTACTTGAATTATAATTGACGTCGTGTCGTTTATTGTTTCGGGATGCCTATCGGACGGGTACCTAACCGGATCATCGTTCCCAATCGAGCAAACGACACCTATCGGCACTCGCCGAGGCCGGGACGCCGACGCCCACAACCAAAGAACCACCTATTGACGACACGCCTACCAACGACGGAAATCCACTTTCGGCACCGCAGGCACCGCAGGCACCGCAAGCACCGCAAGCATCTTTATCGCAATAGTGTATGATCTAGAAGACGTAGCCCTCTCCTCGATTGGGCAGCGCAATGTTGCGGAAGTGGCCCGGCGGCAGAGGGCACCGTGCGGAGTGTCGGCACGGGGATCTAGGTTGCTTTGTCGTATAATTTGCTGAAAGCTTAACAGCTCTGTTAGTAGCGATGGTGTCTGTCGTTATTGCCTATGCGGTGTCGACGTCGAGCGTCGGTGACACCACGCGGCGTGTACTGCCGACAAAAAGCGTCTATTTGGTTTGAGCCGTGGTGCTGATTAGTGTGCCGATCAGGGTGCTGATTCTGGCTCACTAGTAGGGGGCGAGTGTACGGCTATGACCGCGGCGATACACCTCCGCCTTTCAGTGGGAGGCCGCTACCGGCGCGGTACCGGCGTGTCTCCACTGGCGGCAACCCCCGCGCTCGCCCGGAGTATCGCGAAAATCTTCTGACTCACGCTTCGTAAGACTCCACGACTCCAGTGTTCACTGTCCCCCTCTCTCCACTGACTACCAGCAATGTTGAGACGCCACTTTCTGACCCTGCTGCCGCGGCTCGCCAAGATCAAAGTCGCCAACCCCGTCGTCGAGCTCGACGGCGACGAAATGACCCGGATCATCTGGCACTACATTCGGGAGAAGTTGATTTTGCCCTACGTCGACGTCGACTTGAAGTACTATGATTTGGGGGTTATGGCTCGTGACAAGACCGACGACCAGATCACTGTTGACGCTGCTAACGCCATTAAACAGTACGGTGTCGGGGTTAAGTGTGCCACCATTACTCCCGACGAAGGCCGCGTCGCCGAATTTGGCCTTAAAAAGATGTGGTTGAGTCCCAACGGTACCATCAGAAACATCTTGGGAGGTACGGTGTTCCGGGAACTGATCATTATCCCGAGAATCCCCCGGTTAGTACCTGGTTGGGAAAAGCCCATTGTCATTGGCCGTCACGCTTTTGGCGACCAGTACCGCGCTACCGACATGGTGATCAGCGAACCGGGTAAGTTGGAGGTGACTTTTACGCCTGCTAACGGCGGTGAGCCCGTTACTCGCACCGTTTACGACTACAAAGGCCCCGGTGTCGGTCTTGCCATGTACAACACCGACGAGCTGATCACGGGGTTTGCCCACTCGTCGTTCAAGATGGCGCTTCTGCAGCTGTTGCCCCTCTACTTGCTGACTAAAAACACCATTTTGAAGAAATATGACGGCCGGTTTAAGGACATTTTCCAAGAGATTTATGAGAAGGACTACAAGCAGCAGTTTGACGCCAAGGGCATCTGGTACGAGCACCGCTTAATCGACGACATGGTGGCCCAGATGATCAAGCTGAAGGGCGGCTTCGTCATGGCCCTCAAGAACTATGACGGCGACGTGCAATCGGACATCGTGGCGCAAGGGTTCGGCTCCTTGGGGTTGATGACGCTGGCGCTTATGACTCCTGACGGCAAGGCGTACGAGCTGGAGGCCGCCCACGGCACCGTCACCCGCCACTACCGTCAATACCAACAGGGGAAGGAGACGTCGACGAACTCGATCGCGTCGATTTTCGCCTGGACCCGCGGTTTGATCCAGCGGGGGCAAGTGGACAACACTCCCGACGTCGTCACCTTCGGCAAGACCCTCGAGGACGCCACCGTGGCCGTGGTCCAGGACGACGGCGTCATGACCAAGGACTTGGCGTTGGCGTGTGGCCGCACCGACCGGGCGCTGTACGTGACCACCGAGGAGTTCTTGGACGCCGTCAACGACAAGTTGAAGCTGAAGATGGCCGTGTGATAGACACGATAGCTAAAACCATTACTTTCATTATGAACAATTCCACGTCGCCCTCGAACGGGTAAGGATAAAGCTAAAAATGTAGCCTAAAACCTGATCGACTCGGGTTTTAGGTGTGGTACCGGCGGCTCCCCAGTGGGAGAGATCGGCTAATCAGCAATCGAGGGAATGCCGGCAAGGGTGCCTGTGCGTATTTTTTTACACTTTCCAGTGGGAGACAAAGAACCAGGCATGGTAGATCTGGGCTGGGGCGGGCTGCCTAACCGTGGCGACACATCATACATGGGATGCTTAGCCTGATTGCGAACCCGTTTCCAAACCAGTAAAAAATTATCTGGCATGGGTAACTAACTTCCACCGCTTTTTGTGTAATCGAGAACATCCTTCTAGGCACTGGCTGGGGGGTGCTACAAAAATGGGACGAGGCTAACGAAGTGCCGTGCGCTGGGGGCACTGATATTATACCACCGGGACGGCTGGGTAAAAAGTGACAGACCTCTGGCTTCCACGGAATGATCCAGCTGTTAGAGATCCCATAAAAAAGAAAAAAAAAAAAGTTTTACGGTTGCCAGGATCAT